CCTCTGATTTTCATGCCTCGAGGAGACTGGTCCACACCACCCACCAGCAGCAATAAGAGGGCCTTCTTTACATCTTCATGCCCATATATCTCTGGGGCAATAGAAGCAGCCAGCTTTTCATAAAAATCCTCCTCTGCAAGGAAATTGCATTGTTGCCTGGGGGACAAGCACTAGGAAGAAACTAAATTCCAGGCCGTTCTCTCCCCTGCCCCTCACCTGCAATTTGCCTCAGCTCCTCCCTGCTCAGCTCGCCAGCCCCAACTTCATCGTCCTCACTCTTATTCATCTTCACAATTCGGTGTGCTTCCAGGTAAGTTTCTGAGAGCAAGCCCTTGGGACAAGAAAGCCCTGGGCTGTAAATGAAATCTTTTTGACTTGCCTACCACCCGATTCCCTAATGGTTTTTTTACAAAACCCTCTGTTCTACTTTGGTATTTTAGTGCTGTTAGTTTTCTCTAAGGGGATGAAGAGTCCCTTTCTTACCTGGACTACCTGTCGAAAGTCTGTGCGCAAGACTGGCAAGAAGATACCAGTGACACTGACATGGTCCCCAGGCTGAGCAATCCTTGTGTTCTCTCCTTCTACCATCACTGTGATACTGCGAGGGATGTTTCCCACTGGTACTTGGTCACTCTAGCAGAGTACACGGGACAAAGAGAACATAAGGCCCTCAGGGACCCAAGCTTCATCCCTAGACATCACACACGCTCTTTATGACTTCTCAGTCTGCCTAGCCATACACCCCAAACTCACATGTTCTTGCATCTTCATCTCCTGGAATTTGATGAATTTGGAGCCACGCGTCTGCAAATACAGCCGTCCTCCTGAGCGGTTGGTTTGGCACTCCTGGCTCGGACACATGATCAGGGGCATAAAAGTGGGAGCCTGGATCTAGGACACGAGAAAAAAGAAGCATCGATGGAAATCAGAGGGAAATAGCTCCTTATAGCTATTGCTCAAATCACTTTTTTTTTTTTCCAAGTCATTTTCTATGTGCAGCAAACATCATGGAAATAGTTAACCCTCCGAACCATTCTGGTTAACAATGACAAACACCAACAAAACCTATAGAATGGAGGGGCCAGGAAAATGGCTCAGTACAATAAGTGCTTGCCTGGCAAGCGCAAGGTTCTGAGTTCAATCCCTAGTTCCACAAAAAAACCCCCACAAAACTATAGAATGACCATTATGTACCAGATAAACAAGAGTAAACATGCATTTTTCAAAACAATGCCAATAGATAAAACTACATTTTACAAAAAAAAAAAAAAAGATTCAACTGAGTTACATACATTCTTGTTTTATGCCCCATACATACTGGTTGGTAAGTCTCTGCCCCACACTGGTCGCACGTGTAAGTAGCCACTACCATCCTGGGTTTGACTTCAGAGACACGAGTGACAATTCCACGCACAGTAACCAACTTTCCCACAGAATCAGCCCGTACTTCCCGGATCACACGAGGCTTGTTGCTGCTTGGACCTTGAAAGTACAGCTCACTAAAGAGAAAAAATTGTCATCAGTAAGGTCCAAGAAAAAAGTCCCTGGACCTTCCCACAGTGACACTCACAATCTGCGCATGAGCTCAGGAGGATACTGGTTCTGGGGGCTTCGGGCTGCCCCAGGGTCCCGGCTCCGCTGTTCCATCATCAACCGATGCTCAATGTAAACATCCAGAACATCTTTATTTACCACCTAGAAGAGAAACAGGAAAAGGAAACAGCACTGATGCAGGCAAAGTGAGGAAAGGAAGCTTGTTACAGTGGCACAGCCTGTAATCACACTACTTGGGTGGTTGAGGCAGGAGAATTGCCAAGAGTTCAGGGCCAGCCAGAACCACATAGCAAGGGGTCTCAAGTAATAAAAAGATGAGAAAACAGAGAGCACCAGGCACAATCAGTGCCCTCTATTAGGTCAAAGACCACTGCGACCAACAAAGCTCAAAAAACTTGTTTTCCGTGCTCTGCTATGTTCTACAACCACTCACCTCCCTCTCCTTGTACTGAGGCAGGAGCTCTTGTACAGTGTCAGCAAAGAGTCTCACATAGCGCTTTGCATTCTCACAAATTGAGTCCACCAGCTCAGGGTCATCCTCAGCTAGGTCATCCAGGTCCACGTACATTGCCACTTGTTCCCGATGAGCCAGCTGAGCCTGGGGTTGGGAAAAGGCAGAATACTTTAGGGCTGTTATACTGTTTACCCACAAAACCCACTGCTGTGAGCTCAGCAGCCTGATCATCCACAGGGAGAAAGGGCTGCACAGGACAGCAATATACAAGTCCTTGCCGCCCAAAAACAACCTACCTCTCAAGCATGACCTAAAAGCACTCTGATTATTACAGTGTAACATCATGCCACTTATCAATCACCCTACTATACAGGTCACTTACAGACTAACATACCCGGTGAAACAGGGCAGGCCACCTCAAGTGCCACTCCATTCCCAACTCCCTTCACCCTGTGTTGGACTTACCAACTGACTTTCATACTTGAACTGCTTCTTTCCAAATTCGTCATCCTGGTAAAACTCTTGCAGAAACTTCTTAATTCTGTCTACAATGTAAATGTAGAATCACAAGGAGCAATCTTCCTTTTGGATTTCTTATTGCAAATCCCAAAGGGAAGCCTAAAAACCCACTTTTCTTTTAAACTGGGCTGACTAGTTGATTATATAAACATGTAAACAAACATACATAGTTCTCCCCCAAAAAAGCAGCACTCCTTTTTCCAAGTATGTTTTAAGCCAAAAATACACGGCCCTGGCAGTTCCAAGTCTTACCAACACCCCTCCCCAGGGGAATTCCAGTCTGCCTTAGTCTCAGCACCCTTCTACCACGGCCTCCCGCATCTCACAACACACTTGGATCTCAATGTTCTCTGCTCTCCTTCCACCTGTGACTCCCCTTTCTCTCGGGATGTTCTAAATCTGTGCTCCCACGCGGACCTCCACAAGGCGAGTCCTCTACCCCACCCCCGCTCCCGCCACTGCTTCCGCTCTTAGTAAACAAAGAAGCACATGGGCTCGGATTCCAGCCGCCTCACCGCAAGGGATTCCTCCGCCCAAAGCCGGAGTCCGGACGGCGATTGGCTAGCAAGCCCAGGGCCACTTAGTTCCAACCCTCTGCCGCCCCTGGCGGGTTCGCACTAAATCCCCGAATTTCAGGCACGCCCCCACCCTTGGCAGCTGTCTCCGAGGCCACTGCGCGGAAGGACACTGTTTACCGACGACACTCCCTTCGACTGTATCGCGCCACTTCCGCCCGCCTCCACTTCCGCTCGGAGGGCGGCTGGAAATGGCCAATCGCAGCGCGCAGCGGCCCCAGGCTGCCCGCCTCTGGGGCTTCGGCGGGTCTCGGCCGGACGCAGGAACTGGCGAGTCCCTCAAGATTTGGAGGGAGGCAGATCTGGAGTCTCCATCCCTGAGGCCAAAAACCCTTACACGACCACGGCCTAGCTCGCATTCTCTTCTAGGCACGACCCTTCCCTTCTCTACAGCCGCCAGAAGTTATCCTTCCCACGACCCCAACACCCTTCCCGGGCAGGACTACCAGCTCTCCTTCGCCCTCGGCGCTCCCCCGTGGGTCTCCTGGGCACTGTGTGTCTCGCACACGCCGCCGCCCAGCTCTACCTCTAGTCTTGCTCATCCCAGAACCCGCCGACCCCGACCCCAGCTCACACCAACAGGTGTCAGTTGGGTAGCTTCTCTCCCAGAGCTCCCCTCCCAGGCTTGCAGACCCTTACCTTTCTCAAGTGCGTAGTCCTTCAGTGCCATCGCTGCCAATGACCGTTCGGCAGCAGTTGGCGAGAGCAGTAGTTTGACTCCCTAGAAACAGAAAACGGCCACACACAGCACTCGGCAGAACCAACCGAAATTGGCGCGAAACGTCGCCTCCCACGTGACCGGCTACGCTGCTGGTGGGCCAATCGGAAAGATGGCCCTTCGTCCCGCCCACCCGCTACAGGCTTCACTCTTGACCAGTCACCCGGCAAGGCTGGACTGAGTGACGTGAAGGCGGCGGGCGGGTAGAGAAGGACTCGCCGAGAGGGGCGGGGCGGGAGCCGGGTTTCCCGCGGTCCGGCCTGACGCGGGCGGAGGCGAGTCGCTCTTAAAGGGCCACTCCACGTACGTCCTTTTGTTCCCGGGCCACAAGGCGGGGCAGGCCCTACTTTCACCATCTGCTGGTCTACTCTCCAGAACAGCCATGATTTCTCAGTTCTTCATCTTGTCCTCCAAGGGAGACCCGCTCATCTATAAAGACTGTATCCTTGTGCCATGGGGCGGGATGGAGCAGCTGATTGGGAGACGAGTTTAGAGCCCGTTTGTGTCGGCCTCTCCTTAACTGCCCTTCCATCCGGCCAGTCCGTGGGGACAGTGGTGGCCGGGATGTGGCCGAGCTCTTCTACCGGAAGCTGACGGGACTGCCCGGGGACGAGTCCCCGGTTGTCATGGTAACTGCTTAGCGGGAGGGTGCCGTGGGGAGGTTGAGGGGTGGCCTCAACCCTTTCGAGGATTTTTTCCAACAGCCTTTTCAAGGGCTGTTTTTTGTTTGTTTTTCCTTGAAAGTTCCCACTGAGGGGTAATCTTTCTCTAAATGTAACTAAGGAAAATGTATTGAGAGCTGACGGTACAACAGGAGCTTCTCTTGCCTGACTCAATCCTAAGGAACTATAGAACTGGTGCTGCTATTAACGTCGTTTGCATAGTAGGAAACCTCTTCGGGAGGTTTTAGTGATCGCCCAAAGCCACACTGCGACTGTCTGTCTAGCTGGGAACATCAATCAGGGTACAGTTTGGAATCTTTAGAAGCCTTGATCACTACTCCTTTTTCCTAACACCCACTCCCCTCAGTACCACGATGACCGTCATTTCATTCACATCAGACACAGCGGTCTCTATTTGGTGGCCACGACTTCAGAAAACATTTCTCCCTTCAGTCTCCTAGAGCTGCTCTCCAGGTGAGGAGGGCTGGGCTGGACCCCACAGTGGGGCTTGAGAGGATGAGGAGTGGTCCACACCTGGCTCTGTTTCCTCAGGTTAGCTACTCTCCTGGGTGACTACTGTGGCTCCCTCAGTGAAGGGACCATCTCCCGAAATGTGGCTCTTGTTTATGAACTCCTCGATGAAGTATTGGTAAGGACCAATGATTTTCTTATCTTTTCCCATCCCCAGGAAGATACGCCTATTCTTCTTTTGTGGAATCTTGTGATTGGGAGACTAAATCCACTTTTTAGCTCCTGCCTGGAAAGTGCAAGGACCCGGGTTTGATCCCTGGTACCACATACCCTGCCAGCCACCCAAACCAGGCATGGTGGTACACACCTATAATTCCTCCACTGAGAGACTAAGACAGGAGGATCACTATGAGCCTGAGCTTCATAGTGAGACCTTGTACCAAATAAATGAAAGTTAAAAAATAAATAAATAAATAAATCCACTTTTTTCCACCAATTTCCTCCACGGATCACCTCCAAAACACCTGTCCTTCCTTCCTTACCACTAGGACTATGGCTACGTACAGACCACATCCACAGAAATGCTAAGAAACTTCATCCAGACGGAAGCTGTGGTCAGCAAGCCTTTTAGCCTCTTTGATCTCAGCAGTGTTGGCTTGGTGAGTATCAGGGAAAGGAGGAAGAAGCCAGGCCACTGGGGAGCTTCAAAGCTGAGGATTGTTTGCTTTGGGTATTTTACAGTTTGGGGCAGAAACGCAACAGAGCAAAGTGGCCCCCAGCAGTGCAGCCAGCCGTCCAGTCCTTTCCAGTCGTTCTGATCAGGTCAGAGAGGGATCACTAAGGTCAGCCTTTCAGACTTGGGGGGGGATATATATATATACCACATTCCAAGATCCTGGCTTATCATTCCAGTTCCTTTGACATGGGTACCCCTTCTCCCACACGTGTTCTGCCGGAATTACTTTTTTCTGCCTGTTCGTTTTATTGTACTTTATTCTACCTGTTCATTTTAGAATGCAGGTATTTAGTTAGTCTCAACCAATCAAATCCTTTTTTTTTCTCAGAGCCAAAAGAATGAAGTTTTTTTGGATGTGGTGGAAAGATTGTCTGTACTAATAGCATCTAATGTAAGTGTGGGCTTCCAACCCCAGGGCTTGACAGTACTTGGAAAATGAGTTCAGAAGGTTATGACTGGGCACTAACTTCCCTACCACTTCCAGGGGTCACTACTGAAGGTGGATGTACAAGGAGAGCTCCGGCTCAAGAGCTTTCTTCCCAGTGGCTCTGGTGAGGACCTAGGGTTGGGTTTAGGACAGGATCCTTGGTGACGTCGTTGGTGTTTACTGACCTTTTCTGATGTTCTTTCCTCTTAACAGAGATGCGCATTGGCTTGACGGAAGAATTTTGTGTGGGGAAATCAGAGCTGAGAGGTAAAAAAGACTGAGGTGTTTCTCCCTCAGGAGGTCACTGCCAACAATTTTGTGGAAAAAAAATTGAAGATGGGACCTGCCCTGCCCTAGCTGTTCTCTCCCAAAGCATGGATGAGGAGAGGAGCCTCTCTCTTTGCAGGTTATGGGCCGGGAATTCGGGTTGATGAAGTCTCATTTCACAGCTCAGTAAACCTGGACGAGTTTGAGACTCATAGGATCCTCCGGTTGCAGCCACCCCAGGGCGAGGTCAGGATCAGGGTAGCCTAGTAGATGGGAGGGGAAGCATGACACTAAGCTGACTTCATTCCTCTCCTCTCAGCTGACTGTGATGCGGTACCAACTGTCTGATGACCTCCCCTCCCCGCTCCCTTTCCGGCTCTTTCCCTCTGTGCAGTGGGACCGAGACTCAGGCCGGTGAGACCATTTCTTATGTTGTAAAACCACTCTGGAAAGGAAACCAACCCAAAATGTAGATGTTCCTAAGGCTTACTATGGAAGGATGGTGATAGAGGTGATTGGATATCAATGGGAAAGACTTAAGCAGTGGTGTTGGGCTGGATTTTGGCCCGCTACCTTCTTGGGGTATGTCCTGCACAGCCTCATGTAAAAGCCTTGAGTAATGGTAAGATGCCAATAGAATCTAGCCTAAGTAATAGTACTGTGCTTTCTTATCCAGGCTCCAGGTTTATCTGAAGTTACGGTGTGACCTGCCACCAAAGAGGTAAGTGGGGGCCAGTCAGGCCTGGTGCACCAGTGAAAGACAGAAAATGGTGTCAGTCAGATACAAGAACCTGCCACTTACTCCTTTAACTGCATCCACCAACCTTAGAAGCTGAATCCTTTGTAGAGGCTCTAGCATTTGGCAGGGTGGTGTTACACACCTGTGCTGAGCTTCCACTGTGACATTAAAGAGGAACAGGGACAAGGGACTCTGCCTTCCTGGGACTAACCACATTCCTGTCTCTGCAGCCAAGCAGTCAACATCCGGCTGCACCTTCCACTGCCACGAGGGGTGGTCAGGTTAGTGCGTGCTCCCTGGGAAGCTTCCGTGGGGGAACGGTGCTCTGCCAATGCAGGCACCATTGAGCTCCAGACGTTCTCTCCACACTCCAGCCTGTCTCAGGAACTGAGCAGCCCAGAACAGAAGGCAGAGCTGGGGGAGGGAGCCCTTCACTGGGACCTGCCCCGGATACAAGGAGGCTCTCAACTGTCAGGCCTTTTCCAGGTATCCCCTGTTGACCCTCTTGAACCCCATCCCACCTCCACTTGGGCCCCCAATATCCAGCCTCTGCAGGGCAGCTGCTGCCCTATTCACAGTAGTGCAGGTAGCTGCCTGGCCTTATGGCTTCTCTGCTGTCTTTCCTCACAGATGGACGTTCCCAGCCTACTGGGCCCTCCTGGCCATGGACCTTCATCCTCAGTTCCTCCACTAGGACTGGGCCCCGCAAGCTTGTCCTTTGAACTGCCCCGTCACACGTGCTCCGGCCTCCAGGTTCGCTTCCTCAGGCTGACCTTCAGGCCCAGTGGCAATGCCAACCCCCACAAGTGGGTACGCCACCTGAGCCACAGTGATGCCTATGTCATTCGGATCTGAGACTCCCAAACAAGTCTGTGACAAAAGGCAGCAGGCAATCAAATGTGAAGACTTCAGTGTTTTTTTTCTTGAAGTCCTGGCTTGTGGCTCTGGATGTAAGCAGAAGAGTCCTGAGTCTTGAGCGGCCCCGAGTGTCCAGGGACTTGCCCCTTCTGTGGGATCTCACACAGGAAGGCTCAGAACTTACAAATCAACTTTTATTCTGAGGAAGTACTGTACAGTATCTAATAAGAAAGTCACATGGGTTAAACAAGCCTACTTTTTCTTCCACCCTGCTTGCATGAATGCGCATAGGAATCCATGGGAGAGAAGGTCAGCAGATGGACGGTGTTATTACTGAGCAGGCTGAGGGGAGCCAGGTCCAGAGGGCTGGGAACCATTCGCCTTTGGAGTCCCTGGAGCTGGAGGTGGGCTGTCCCCAGCTTCCTGTTTCCCCCCACAGAGGGCACTGCCCCCAAGTGGAGAGGGGGAAGATGAGGTGGGAGGGACTGGAGAAGGATGGGAGGGAGGGCCTCCTTTGCCGTCTCCTGTTGGGGGCAGTGAGACCACAATGTACTTCTGGACACTGCCAGGCCCAGAGGGGGCCGTGCTGGGGGGTGCAGTGGAGGCAGTGGAGACCAGCTTGACAATGGGCTGCACGCTGGGGACTGTGGTGGTGACAGGAGAGGTAGTGGTGGATCCTGAGCCAGGGGCTGAGGTGCTGAGGGACAGGACCTGGTGGAGAAAGGAAGGCAGTGCAGATCACCATGCACCCACTCCATGAAGGCTTTCAATCTTCAGGATCCTGCAGACTGTTGCCAACTTAACTTACAAGCCCCCAGCAAGTGGTCCTTCCATTTCCTTTCTGGCTGTGGGTCTTGGAGGGGACTGGCATCTACTTTGAGGCCCCTCTAAAGAGTTCTGAAGTGACCCAGGCTACTTAGGGTGCTCCTTCTATCCCTTATCCCAGGTGCCACATACCTGCTGAGTGGATGAGGCGCTGGAGGATGATGACATCACAATAAACTTCGTTGGAGGTGGGGAAGGCTGAGGTGGGGCAGCAGCTCGTGCAGACACCAGTGTCTGGACGGGCAGTGCAATGGAGCCAGGGACTTTCAGCAAGCCAGGGGTGCGAGGGCCAGACTGGGGGGCCTGAGACAGGGTCAGTGTGGGCCGGGGCTGTGAGGGAAGAGGCAAGAAGAAAATGTCAGCATCAAGGAGAAGGAAGGGCCTGAATAAAGACCTGGCTGCTCTTGCACTTCCTTGGCACTTCTCTTTAGGACTGGGACATCCTTCACCAGTGAGGCCCAGGGCTCTCTGTGACTATGCTGCCTCAGGGCCCGTGTGTCCCTGGGCACCATGGCCATGTCCCACCTGGGCATCCTCTATTTCCTCCCTTCCTCCACAGCAACCAACCTGTGTGATGGTCAGTGTGGTTCTGTTGACCTGCTGTGCCTGCAGAGCAGCCTGGGCCCGGGCCTTGACCACATGGGAACAGAGGAGGGGCCCAAGGGACCCAAATTCTGCCCGATAGGCATCCTGATTGTCAGGTGGGGGATGCAGCTTAGCCAGTACAGGGGCACAGTGTTTCTGCAGAGAGAAGGCAGAGAGGCACAGTGTGAAAGGACATACCCACTGTTTCACTGGACCCTTGATGGGAAGAGTGCAGGGCCTTCAGTGAGCACAAGGAGTGGTGTGGTTCTCTCTTGGAGTGGTGGGGACTGACTGCCGTGAATAGAAGACTTGCTATACCAACTGTGGGGCAGTGAAGCCAGGCAGCATGTGTTTGCCTTGCACCCACTGGGTCACAGTGATTAAAACTCCTTATTTCTTGGCGCACCTGTGCCTGTCTTTGCGTTAGCGAAACAGCACCAGACTCCAAAGGGTGCTTACATGGCAAAGGGGGGAATAAATGAGTAAGATGTACTGGATGCTTGCTAAACACTACGCCTATGTGTATGGGAGGGGCAGGGCAGGGGCTCTGGTCACCAGAAGGAGGCTCTGCACGTGGTCAGCTCCAATGCGATCGATGTTGCTCAGCACCGGGCCATCCAGGACGCTGCGGATCCGCTCCCCCTCCTGCTGTAGCCGTGGCAGGATCAGAGTCTTGATCACCTGTTGGGAAGGAAGGCGGGAAGCCAGGACACTGGGGTCTCTCAGGTGGCTGGCGGTTGCTCTCTGACCTCAAGCCTGCTTCCCCTCACCCAGCTGTTCCTCCCCAGGGGCCTCACATCATGTCCTAGCTCTGCCAGGCCTGCAATGGAGCCATAACGAGTTGTCCAGGGAGTCTTCTCGTCTACCCAGCTCTGCAGGGAAAGGAAAAGCCAGATAAGTGAGTCTTAAGGCTGTGGACCCAGGTCTTCTAGAATTAACCTTCTTTAAGAAGATACTGCAGGTGAGGCTGGAGCCCCCTAGACCAACCTCCCACCAGTTCTTGTTCCAGGACTTACTTCTTCAGGTACAACCCTCCCACCACAGGTATAGGTGAAGCACTTATCCTGGGGACAATCCTGAGGACAACCCTGGGGTGATGTGAAATAGCTTCTTGGGACTCACCTTAGTGAAGGTCTTTGTGATCCGGGACTGGATGTTGTTAGTGGTGGTACTGAAATGCTTGCAGATCTGGGCCACTAGGCGGGCAGCAAAGTCCCGGAGTGCCCAGTGATTGTCCACATCAGGTCGTAGGCACAGCTGTCTGCTCACGATGCAGGTCATCACGGCTGGAATCAGCTCATGCACCTGTAGGAGGAGGAGTGGGTCAGTGGATGGTGACAAACGGCTTCCTGTGAGTGCCAGCGAGGAGGGCGGGCAGGACCACTCACATATTTTTCTAAATACAATGTAGGGTTGTCCATCAGTGCCTTCACCATGCGCATCAGATAGATGAGCAGGGCCAGGTTATTCTGAACCACATTGACACGGACCTTCAGGAGGGGAAAAGGCAGAGAGCCTCCTCAGATCAACTTCCCCACCACTCCTTCCCCAGCCTCATCCTGGGCCTGGCTTTCCCAGTCCTCTCACCCCTTCTGAGATGAAGGTACTGAACCGAGGCAGCATCTGATAGAGCCCTGGGTCCGTAGCGATGCTCTGCAGAGCTTCCTGTGGGAGGAGGGAAGCAAGTAGGGTGAGAGCAGGAATCATGGGGAGCAATCTGCACGGACTGTAAAAGGAGTCTTGGCTGAGGGCAGATGGGGTCCTTACTGCTCTCTTGGCCTCACAGGACCCCACACAAGCTTCGGTGATCTCTTTGTAGTACAGCTGCTGCTCCACAGAGAGCTCGTGGATGCTGCGAGGCTTCAGGCGCAGAGAGGCCCCCTCCAGCAAGGGTGGTGCCTTCTTCTCTTTCCCTGTGTGAATTGAGTGATGGATCTAAAAAAAAGAAGGCTCCGGAGCAGCCTCAGCACCAGTCAACCCTAAACCTGCCACTTTCCCCCACATGTCTTCCTTTAGATTTCTTAAGCCTTTTGGTACTCTCTAGGCCTGGCCTTACCTACTTCACAAATGACCATCTGGTCTGGGATAAGAGTTGAGGGAGGCCTGGCCTTGAGAACTGACCTTTGCCATCAGCTGGAGTGGCTCCTTGACCTTTGCCTTTCAGGGGTCCATCTTCTTCTTGGCCTGGCTTTGCTGACTTTAGGGGTTCAGTGGCCTCAGCCTTCTGCTGTTCTTTGGGAGCTGGTGGGAAAGCAGTCCCAGCAGGACAAGTGATGTGAGTGGGGAGAGATGTAAAGGAACAAGGCAGGAGTAGAGGGAGAGAAGGGAGTGGGCTCCAGGCATGGAAAAGTTTACCTGGGGGTGGATTCTCTGGTATAGCCGGCTGGCAGCCTTCGATGCTCAGCCAGTGAGCTGTGAGAAAGGAAGCTATTGAGTGAAACTGCTGGACATGGTGACTAGGAAGTCCTTCCACACTAACGTAGATGTGTACTGGCTCCTGCTCTCATCTTGCCATTCACACTGAGGGCTTCTCCACTGTATAGTTCCTCACACCAACATGCTCACTCCCCCTTTTGCACCTCCCTGGCACCCTGCCCACTCCTCTGCTAACCTTTGAGGCAGACATCCAGAGGCACCCGAGGCAAAGGGGTGTTGATGATGTCACTCAGATCCACCTCCTTCTCCTCATAGAAGTAGAGTTCTCGGCCCCCACCAGAAGCAAAACGGAAGGGAATGAATTCCTGAGCATGGAAGCCATAGAGTGGCTGCATCGGGAGGGAAAGAGAGATACTGGTGTGAGAAGCCTGGCAAAAGGCAAGCACAGCACCTGGGAGAATGGCATCTCGCCACCCTGCTTCCATTTGGGGCCTCCCGCCGCCTCCCTTTCTCTCCCAATCACCTCAACATTCTTCAGTTTCAGTGCATAGTCAATATCACTGGTGGTGAGCTTCTGCCGCTTCCCCATGTGCATGAACTTGAGCGCATCCTGGAGGCAGGAGGACAGGAGAAGAGCCATCAGGCATCAGTCTAAGACCAGATGAAAGAAGGGCTCCTGGGTAATATCCTTGACACAACGCTGGGCTAGGCAGCAGGGCCTGGTTACCTGTGCAATCTCTTTGATTCGGTAGCTGACCTCATCTGTCAGCAGCTGGCAGGTTTCCTCCTGAATCTGTGCGATGCCCATTGATTCAGCCACGACCTTCATGGACTCCGAGGGCAGCACAGTATTGCTGAGCTTCAACTTCTTCTCCTCAGCCATAATGGAGTGCCTCCTCCCCTCCCTTGAAGGATGCGGCCCCAGGTGGAGTGATGGAGCCCTTGGCAGGGAGACGGAACAGGTAGAAGAGATAGAAAGAAACACAACTCAAAATCCCTGCTAAATTGAATTCCTGCTCTCCCCCTACCCACCTGCTGCAGCTCTGCTTGACCCAGTTCCCTCATTCTCACAGCTGTGCAGTTCTCAACGGTTCTTTATCTGGGCCCACTCTCACATTAAATCCAGCCTGATTCCTACACTCCCACTTCGTTAGCCCAGGTCACCATCATCTAACTCCTGCAGAACCCACAGCCTCTGAACAAGCTCTTTCTGCTTCCATCTCAGCCTCCCTGTATCTATTCTTCAAGAGCAGCCAAAATGATTGTCAAAATATAATCGAGATTGTCATTTCTCTACCGTAACATTTCTGTTTACTGTAAGAACACTAACAGTGGCCTACGATGTCCTTCAAGATGTCTTCTTCCCTTTACATCTGTCTTTCCTTCTATTTTGTCCTACCCTATCATCCCTCTTGCTGTTTTTTGTATCTGCCAGACATGTTTTAGCTTTTATGCTTTTTGCTTTATGTTCTCCCTAGATGTCCATCTGGCTATCTTAACCATGCTATTTTTTTTTAAATGTATTATACTGGTACATTTTAGATATATACAATGATAACATTCATCGTAGGGAATTTGTAGCTGTACATGATATATCTTGCTTCATTTTCCCCATTCCCTTCCCCTCCCTTCAACCCCTCTTCCCCTGCTTATTTACAAATGCTTTGTTTGCATTTCTTCCATCTTTCCCCTTCCCACCTCCCTTGTTCCCCTTCTCACTTGAACATGACCCTTCTATTTTTTTTTTTTTTATTTTAGTTTTTTTTTTTTTTTTTTTTTTTTAATTCTAGTCTTTTTGTGAGATGGTTTCACTATGTAGGTAAGGCTGGCCTTGAGTTCACTTTGTAGCCCAGCCTCAACCTCTGCAGTGCTGGGATTACAGGTGTGTGCTACCATGTCCAGCTATACCATGCTATTTTATTTCCCTATTCTGCGCTCATTCTCCTCTTTTTCTTTTCTATAGCATGTAATATCTTTTAAGACATTGTATCATTTCTAATTATCAATCTACCTATGATGTGGACAGTGATCTTTATGTTATTATGGATGTATTCTGGGTGCCCAGGCTAGTGCCTTGAGATGTCATAAATAGTAAACACTTTTTGAACAAATGAATGAACTGCAAGGCTTGGAGATGTAGGTGCTCAATAAATACTGGGTATCACAACTACCTAGATGAAAAAGGTATAGGCCAACACCTAAGTTTACACTGGAGTCATGGGAGCTGGCCATTAGGAAGATTAACCTGGTGTTCAGACCTGAGTGCCAAAGAATTTGGTACTTTTCAAACCATCTCGGGTACCCTCACAGACTTGTATAAGCCTTACCTATAAGGGACAAAATTATTCAATACACACTCTGTGCCTGGTGCCAGGTATACAAGAAACAATCGTATCCTAGTTCCCTGGTGAACACCTACTAATCTGTCAATACCCTGCGGTACCCTCTTGCCAGTAAGGAGTCATAAAACACGCTACAGCTTCAGAAGAGTCTCCGATCAGTGGGACAGCAGAAGGAACTCTCAGAGCAGAGCTAACTTGAAGTAGACTCTGCAGTAGTTTCCCAGCAAAAAACCGAGTCCAAGATCCCCAGGCATCGCCAAAGGAGGCTCAGAGAACCCACCCTATCTCCCCCGACATCCCTGCAAAGATACACGTAGTCCCCACGATCACAGACACACAACCAACCGTCCTCTTCCCAGTCCCCACAAGGGTCCCTCAAGGGGTTTCCTCCTCCCGGGTAGTCTTCAGACCCGCCCCCAGCCGACCCAACGCCGGGGGCAGTAAGACTCTCACCGCCGCCAAAGCGCCGCTCACCCGGCGCTCGGCGCCATCTTGGCCCCGCCCCCTCCCTGTCGCAGGTCCTGGCAGAGACGGAGAGCAAGTCACCGTCCCTCCCTCAAGCCATAATAAGTCATATAGTCTCATAGCCTTAAATAATATAAAATATGTTTCTATATATGGTGTAAAAATCACACGCTTCTATTTTCATTACTTCGATTTATTTCTTCACTACCTACCAGCCAGGACCCTCAGCAGGCGCCACAAAACAGGCGGGGAGCTGAGGCTCCACCCCTTTGCGCAAGCGCCACTTGGATTGTAATGTAGCCGCCTACTGCCTCCGAATTTAAAGGGCCCGTTCCCTTCCCAAAGTTAGTTTGAAGCCGGTCTGTGGTTGCTTCTAGGCGGCTCTTTGTCATGGGACCTGTACGGTTAGGAATATTGTTATTCGTGGTGGCAGTGTATAGTGCTTGGGCTGGACCGTCGCGAGAGGAGGACGATGACACAGAACGCTTGCCCAGCAAATGCGAAGGTATCAAAAGGGAGAAGTCTCTATTTGTGTCTGTCTGCCCCACTTGTTTCGTTTAGGCCAAACCAGGTGGAGTGTGATGGGTGGGCTTATTCGTTCTGTTTGACGTGCTGAGCAAGGTTCTGGTGGAGCTTGGCAGAATTGGAATGGGATCAAGGGAGACATGCGTAGTGCCCCCCCAAAACTGTGGCATTACGTTTCCCCTGAGCCTCCCCGAGGGAGTCTGTCTGCTTTTTCTTACAAGCTTGGTTCCCAGTGTGGTGTGAGAATTGTATTTGAGAGACTCTGCCCTGGACAGCCAGCTCAACTGAGCATCAGTATGCAATAATTCCAGCCTGTCATCAGCCGGATCTAAATCTGTAGAGCTTGCAGGAGCAAGGTGTGAGGATCATGTTTTGTAGACATCCTCTGCCCCGCCCTGGTAGAGACGCTGCCAAATTACAGACCCCATCCCACCCTGAGGGTGTTTGAGAATGAGTAAGCTCTTGAACCTCATAAACAGTGATGGGGAGGACACACAACTAAGTTTCGCATCAGCGCAAGGCTTTGCACAGTGTGCTTACTGTAAGGATTTTACTCCAAGCAGCATTTTTCCAGCTGCACTAAGGCGAGACACCGCTGGGAAGGGGCACTAAAGAGTTTGATCATTGAGTATCCTGATTCTCTAGTTTTTTGGCTCCCTGACAGTTTTTTTTTTTTTTTCCTGAGATTCTTTTAATCTTCATCCCACATTCCATATGATTTCATTATTCTTTCCTATCAACTTGTTCTAATCGCTCACTTTCTTTACTTCTGTGTCCCCAGCCTTCACCTTCCTCCTGTCGTTCTTTCTGAACTCGGATCCAATCTTGGCTTAACAACTATGCGAACTTCTACTGTGATCAGAATGCACATAAATCTCCGCATACAGCCCCACACTTCTTAAATTTTCATATCCCATTCCCACCCTGAAAGTGCCTGTCTCATTTACTTTTCTCTCATTGCTGGGACAAAATAATTGACACCCAAAATTAGGGAAGGAAAAGTTTATTTAACTCACAGTTCATGGAAGTTTCAGCAGTCCATAATCAGCTGGCTCCAAAGCAGAGTGTCAAGAGGGTAGCAGTTCATGGTGGAGGAAAACTACAAAAGAAAAGCAAAAAGGGAGAAGCAGTGGCCCAGAGCAAGCCTCCTCCCCTCCTTTATATTGCATTCAGGCTACCCACCCTGGGTAGGTGTAGCACTCACGTCCATAATCCCACCAGCACTAATATCCATAATCCCAGTCTTGGATCATGAATTAATCACAAACTCTAGAAGCCTGCCCCATGATTACATGAGGTTTTGGGGAAACATTTAGACCCAGTGCCTGTGCTTCAGACAGCTCTGAATCTGAACATCTGATAGTCACTAAACCTTTTTAATGTTGTAACTCTATGTCTTTGCTGTTTTTCCTGTTGTCTGAAATAATGACATAATAGCTATTCCTCAACACCCAATTTAAATATCACCTTCTTGGAAGCCTTCTTCCTTATCTGTCACCTTCTGTTATCCTGTAGGTTTTTAAAAATTATTTTTTATAATAATTATTAATGTATTTAGTACAGGGTCTACAGGGTCTTACTACACGGATTGGACTTGTAATGATCTTCCTGTTTGCAGCTTCCCAAAAGCTGGGATTATAGGTGTGTACCACCATGCCCAGTCTTTTAAAATTACTTTTTAATCTTTTCTTCATTTATTTGGTACAGAGTCTCTCTACACAGCTCAGACTTGTGATCCTCCTGTCTCAGCCTCCCCAACCCTGGGATTACAGGTGTGTACCACCATGCCCAGTTTCAGTGGCTGGCATGTCACACTGGGATTCTGGGGTCAGCATGGCCTTTGGTACCCAGGATTGAACCTGGGCCCTTGTGCTTGCTAAGTAGCCACTTAGACCACTGAGCTATCTCCACAGTGCTGTAGGCTCTTGAAGGAAAGGGAGTATCTGTGTATCTCAGGTCATAGCACAGTGCCAAGCACATTTAAGCACTTGGGTTACTTGTACTTTTGTTTGGTTTACTTGTCACTTCTGTATGGGATATTTATTTCTTCTGGGACCTACCAAGTGCCAGATTACATGTTAGGTGATGAAAAGACAGTAACATGGGGCTGGGGAGATAGCTCAGTGGTCTAAGCACCTGCCTGGCAAGTGCAAGCACCCAGGTTTGATCCCTGATACCACAGGCCCCAGAACCCTGGCGTGATGTGCCAGCCACCAAAACTGGGTGTGGTGGTGCATGCCTGTAATCCCAGCGCTGGGGAGGCTGAGACAGGAGGATCACCATGAGTCTGAACTGTATAGTGAAACCCTGTATCTAATAAATATTTTTTTTAAAAGTGACCTTTGAATGAATATTGTATTTGCTAGTCAGATTAAGTTTCTTGGTTTTAGCCCCTGGTGTAGGGTCTGTCATTGCCAGAGACAAAGATCATGGATCTTTTTCTGGGGAGGAGCAGTTGAGACAATCTAGTGATGTAGCCCAGGCCAGCCTCCAACCCATGCAATCCTGCTGTCTCAGCTTTCCAAGTGTCGGGTTTACAGGCATGCACCACCATGCCTGGCCAAGATCATGGGTCTTATGGGTTCTCCATACTGTCACCATGTATACAGAAGGAGCTCAGTAATTTTCAACATAACAGCAAAAACTTACATCCTCATATCTTTATAAGGGTCTTAGTATTATCCCCATTTTAGAGATGGAGAAACTGAGGCACATCAAGATTGTCACAGCTACTGAGAAGCTGAGCTAAATTTCACCCCAAGCATACTCTGCCGCCTTTGGTCATCTGCAGAACTGCTGATGTGTTTACTTGTCTTTCACATTCCCTTGGACATCTCCACACATTATCAGTATGTAAGCTACTGAGCATGGAGCTACAGGAGAAGCTGAGTCGTACTGGCCGATCTCGAGAGGTCTTGGAGCTGGGGCAGGTGCTGGACACAGGCAAGAGGAAGAAACATGTGCCTTACAGCCTGTCGTGAGTCCTTGGTGCTCCGCTACCTCCCAGCCCCAGAATTTGTCCTGAGAGTCCCTACAAGATCCAGGAAGTTTTCGTTCTCCCCTTCCCATAGAGAGACAAGACTGGAAGAGGCCTTGGAGAATTTATGTGAGCAGATCCTGGATTATAGTGTCCATGCTGAGCGCAAGGGGTCGCTGCGATATGCCAAGGTCAGCTTTTTCCCTAGGGGAGGACCCTGATTCTCAGAAACAAAGACCTCTATTCCCTGAGGCCCTCAAGGGATGTATACCCATCTCCCCTCTGCTCTGGGGTGTCCCCTATATGTTCAGGAGCCTGCATCTTACTCTCTTTGAACTCACTCCTGAGACTTCAGTAGTTGACAAAACTGGACGAAGTGGTACTGCACTGGGTTGACCCCATATTCTCCATTGCTCAGGGTCAGAGTCAGACCATGGCGACGCTGAAAGGCCTAGTGCAGAAGGGAGTGAAGGTGGATCTGGGGATCCCTTTGGAGCTGTGGGATGAGCCCAGCGTGGAAGTCACATTCCTCAAGAAGCAGGTAGGATAAGCTGCCACAGTGTCCCGGGAGGTGAGAAGGGAACCTGAGGTGGGGAACTAGGTCCTAGGACTTGACTGTAAGGAATGTCCACCTCTGAACAGGGAGAAGGGGGAAGAGTGAGGACTATGCCATCCATTAAAATGGACCCAAGAGCATATCAAGAAGTAAAACTGGTCAGGCACAGGGGCCTGCTGTGCTGGCTTTGCCCCCAGGGCGAGCTGAGATGGCAATTGAGACTGGGCATGGTGGTGCACCTGTAATCTCAGCACTTGGGAGGCTGTAAACAGGAGAATCACTATGAGTCCGATCTAGTAGTGAGACTCTGAATACCTTGTAGACCCTTCCCTAAAATACAGAACAAAAAATAAAATAAAATAAAATAAAAATAAGCAATACTGAAGCCAAGCATGATAATATACACCTCTAATCTTAGCGTTCTGGGAGGCTGAGGCAGAAGGATCATATTTTTTTATGTATTTAGTACAGGGTCTCACTACACAGATTGGACTCCTAGTGATTCTCCTGTTTTCAGCCTCCCAAGCGCTGGGATTATAGGCACATGCCACCACGCCCAGTCTCAATTGCTGTCTCAGTGTGCCCCGGTCCTGGTGTCTGCCTACGCAGGTGCTTTAATCTGCTGAGCTATCTTGTTGAATTGTTTTTTAGGGGAGGTTTATTGTTTTTGGTGCCAAGGACCAAACCCAGGGCTTCCAGCTTGCTAGGCAAGCATTCTACCTCTGAGCTGAATCCCCAGCCTTTCTGGCTGAGCTATCTGGCTGGCCCTTAGAATCACAATTTTGAGTCCAGCCTAGACAAGTCAGTATCTAAGAATCTATCTCCAAACAAAAAAATAAAAAAGGACTGTGGGCGTAGCTCACTGTGAACCCTGGGCTTTGTCCTGAGTACTTAAGAAAAAAGAAAGATGAATCAGGTTAATACTATCCACCACTGTTTACAAAGTCCAGCAGGCCAAGGCCAGATACTTTATTTTTTGTTGTTTGGCAGAACCAGGGATTGAACTCAGACCCTTGCGTTTGCCAGGCAAGCATTTATTCTACTGAGCTATCTCCCCGGCCCCAAGCAGGCCAGCTACTAATCACACTCTTCCACTTGACCAGTGTGAAACAATGCTGGAGGAGTATGAAGATGTCGTGGGAAACTGGTACTTCCACCATCAGGAGCAGCCCCTACAGCATTTTCTCTGTGAAGGTCATGTGCTCCCAGCCACCGAAACTGGTAAGTGGGTTTTGGGCTGCTCTAGGGCCAGGGTGCAGTGTTTCCTATCCCCAGAACCAAACTTTAAATTGTTTTCTCTCACCCTACCTAGCATGTCTACAGGAAACTTGGACTGGAAAGGAGAAAATCACAGATGGGCAAGAGAAGGAAGAAGGGGAAGAACAAAAAGAAGAGGAAGAAGAGGAAGAGGAAATGACAAAGACAGGACACTCCAAGCATGATCCAGAGGATCTTTGACCCTAGCCTCTGAACCCCCAAGAGGGGTTATGAAAAACCCTCTCTATAGTCTGAGCTGTCCCTGCCCCACAGCTTTAAGGATGTGTTAGTGTGTGACCCCACCCCAATGCTTCTAACCCTTCTTTCCCACCTGATGTCAGGCAGGATCCTGGGGATGAAGGATTGCATGACTATGCGGAGAAGGGTAGGAGCAGCAGATGGATGTCGTGCCTCCACAGGTGAACTCTATGCCTGCCATACCAGCCCCTTGGCAGCTGTGTGTGTGGTGACAACCTTGAAGCTTTTCCCTGTATGTATCTCTACTGCTCCCCAGAGGTCAGCAATGGCATAGAGCTATGGATCTTGGGAAAGTCACTTTGCTTCTAAAGGGATCTAGTTTTAGATCCTTACAAGGAAGATGACAGAACAGATATTCTCTACAACCTATATACTGTACACTACCTGTGTCCAGCAGGCTGCATGCCAGCAAGCTGGGAACAAGAATAGGTTACAGGGTGGGGTGAGGCCATGCTGATTAAGTTAGATACTTGTCTACTTCATAATACTCTCACAGGTGCCAAATTTTATATATGGTTATTAAACTTTTTAAAAATATCAACGGGAAAAAAAATATCAACGGGGCCCAGTTTCAAACATCTGTGCACACATGATAGTTGGTTGATGAGGCAGCACCTAGTCAGTGGGGCCATTGGAGGCTACCTTCCCAGGAGTATGTTTTGGATTGAACCGCGGTCCCTTTGCTTTGCTAAGCTTGTTCTAAGTAGGTGCTTCAGACCACTGAGCCATCTCGCCAGCCCCTTAATTTTTTTTTATGCTTGGTAGTTCTGTTAATTTTTTGGAGACAGGCTCTCACTATGCAGTTCAAGCTGGCCTTGCGCTCACTTTTGTAGCCCCTGGGCTAATCTTGAACTCGCAGTGATCCTCCTGTCTCAACCTCCCAAATGCTGGGATTACAGGCGTCACCATGCACAAAGAACCTTTGGACTAGTCGCGGCAGAATTGTACAGAGAACGTGCTTGCCAGGCAGGCTAGGGCTCAAATTTTATGATGCGCGGGAATTAATTACGTACGTGGCATCGCTTCGGCCGCCATACTTGGGCTTACGGGAGCTCGCAGAGGTCAAAATCCCCCGCGCTTGTCCGACTTCTTTGCTTTTCTCAATAACGAAGACTTCAGTGAGCCATATGACTAGGTCAGTGGGAGGCAAAGAAAACAGATATCCTTAGGAGGATAACCAGCGAGAGCCCACCTATAGACCAGAGGGGCGGGATCGCGGACCGAGGGAGGTTGGGCGATACCATCTTCGGCAGCGGGTTGAGGGCTGTACGTTAAGAGAGAAAGGGGGGCAAAGCTGAGACTCCGAAGGCGCCTCATGGGGGGCCGGGGGCCGGGGCTTGTGGGAGCTCCGAGGTCTCCCACAAGCCCATTTTCTGTCTCCCCAGCCCGTCCCCCCCTGCCATGAGCGGCGTAGTGCGGACCGAAGTTCTGAGCGGGGCGCCTCTGCGGGTGCCCGGCGACCCCTACTCCGTGGTGGTTCTGCTGCAGGGCTACTCGGAGCCGGAGACGGTGGGCGACGCGGTGCGCGCTGACGGCTCCGTCACGCTGGTCCTGCCGCAAGCTTGGGGCCCGGCGTGCAGCCGGCGAGCGTCTCGGCCCGCGGACCGCGAGGCGAGCACAGCTCTGGAGGAGGCGGCGCGTGGCCCCATCCTCGTGGATACTGGGGGACCCTGGACTCGGGAGGCGCTGCTGGGGGCCCTGGCGGGGCAGGGCTTGTCCCCGGGAGACGTGACTCTGGTGGTGGGGACCCACGGGCACTCGGACCATATCGGAAACCTGGGGCTGTTTCCGGGGGCGGCTCTGCTGGTCTCGCACGACTTCTGCCTTCCCGGAGGCCTCTACCTGCCGCACGGGCTGAGTGAGGAGCGGCCCCTGCGCCTGGGGCCCGGGCTGGAAGTGTGGGCCACGCCGGGCCACGGGGGCCAGCGGGACGTGAGCGTGGTGGTGGCAAGCACAGTCCTGGGCACCGTGGTGGTGGCGGGTGATGTGTTTGAGCGCGATGGAGACGAGGGCTCATGGCAGGCGCTGAGCGAGGATCCGGTGGCGCAGGAGCGGAGCCGAAAGAGGATCTTAGGCACCGCCAATGTGGTCGTGCCTGGCCATGGAGCCCCTTTTCGGGTGATTAGGGAAGACTTTCAGCCAGGGACAAATAGTTGTGGGAACAGCACTCGGGAGCCAGTGGTCGGAGATAAGGACCTGACCATGCAAGGATGAGCCCTGACTGGACTTTTTTTTTCCTGGCGCTTGCCAGGAAAGCGTTTATTCCACTGAGCCATCTCCCCGGCCCCTGGACTTCTGTCAGGGAGGGAGAAGCGTTCATAATACGCAGAGGACCTGGGCAACTAGAATCGGAGCAGGCAAGGATGGTCACTGACTTCCAGCCTTCCAGAAGGCAGTTTTTCTAGTCTGGACAGAATGATACTGCCGTCACCATATCATTGCTTGTCACCGCAGCCAACAGTGTCAAGGATTGGCTCGGGTCTCTAAGAATCTTTTGCAGACCTCATTAAAATGAGAAAAAGTTCCTGTGAAGGTCTTCCAAAATAAAAAATAGAAACTGCCCTAATATAAGTTAAAACCTTAATAGCTATAATCATGCACATATGGCAATCAGTCACAAACCTATTGCCTATTTCTTACATAGTGCAGGTTGCTGAGAGGAGGCAGTGACCTCCCCCTTAGTGACTTGATTCATTAATTCACTTTTTAAAAAATGTATTTAGTACAAGATCTACAGGGTCTCACTATACAGAATGGACTCTCAGCGTTTCTCTTGTTTTTAGCCTCCCAAGCACTGGGATTACAGGCTGTGCTACCACACCCCAATTTCAATCCTATCTCAGCATGTCCCTGGGGGCCAGGGAATCCTATCCTATCCCTCTGTCTGCCTAAGTAGGCACGTTAATCCACTGAGTTATCTGGCCGGCCCTTCTTCACTTTTTTGTTCATTCACTGGGTATTTGTTTAACACCTGCAATGTCTCCAGCAGTACTGTAGGTTATGGGATACAACAGTAAGTAAGCAACACAAACTTGCTGTCCTTCATAGAGGTCAGATTCCACAGAGACAGACAAGCAATAAAGTAGTAGCTGTGAAATAATTATGTGTTGTAGGCATGATATGGTGCAGAGGAAGAGATAACTCTTTAAGTTTGAGTGGACAGGAAAAGTCTCTGTCAGAAGATTTTTAAGAAATTGGAAAGGGGGCTGGCCAAATAGCTCAGCAGATTAAAGCACCTGCAAGCAAGCACAGGGGCTGCCTGCATTGAGACTGGGCGTGGTGGCATACACCTGTAATCCCAGCTCTTGGGAGGCTGTAAACAGGCAGATTATCAGAGTCCAGTCTACTAGTGAGACCCTGAACACCCTGTAGATCCTTCCCTAAAATACAAAAAAAAAAAAAAGTAAAGGAAGAAAGCTGGTCATCTGAGAGAATCTGGAAGACAGATACTCCAAGCATGGGGACAGCAGATATAAGCCCCTGAAATGGGACAGCTTGTCCCAATGAACTGGCAAGAAGACTCATGAGTGGAACTACAAAGGTCATGGAAGAGTAGTAAGAAATGGGTTTAGAATTAGGGCCATCCTATAATATCTTGAGGACCATGGTAAGAAGTTAGGGTTTACATTAAGATGGGAGCCATTGGCTCTGAAGCAGGGCATAATACCATGATTTATTTGATTTTCATCACTTTGGTTTTGAGTGGGAAAGGGATTGGTATGAAGCAAGAATATTAGCTGAACTACTGAGGAAGGTCATAGCCTTCCAGTGAGAGAAGTTGATGGCACCTGTCCTTATCCCAAAAAGTTTATTATAATTCATTTCACAATTCTATCCCAGACCTTAGGCCCATTGCCAACCCAGCCTCGGGATCCACAGGAGCACTCAGGTGGGGCAGATGAAGGAGAGAAGCAGGTCCACCTCATTTTGCACAATGAGCTTCACTGGGTGGATGTTGTCCGGCAGAGGCAGGCTGGAGGTCATTTCCCAGGCGTCCACAAAGGCCACGTGGAGATCTGAAAAGGCAGCTCGAAGGAGCCGGTTCACCTGGAGGGTGAACCAGTCGCTGCCATACACAGACTTGTAGCCAGTGTTGGCCAACTTGATGACCACAAGGGTACTGGGTTCCCTGGCCAGCAGGGCCATCACAGCTGCCCGAATCCCTGCCAGGCGTCGCACAAAGATGGTGGGAGGGAAGGTGGTGAAGTGGGCTCCCAAGCCCAGCACCACCACGGTGCGGGGTCCCCCTGCCAGGCCCGCCAGCTCCCTGACCACAGAGTGCAAGGAGGCCACTGGTGTGCGGAGAGAGCGCAGGGGCCAGCTGTGAGCCCGCCAGTGCAACACTATGCCCCGAGTTGTGTCCACAGCCATCAGGGGCCCTGAATGGTAAACAGCATGTAGATCCACCGGCTTCAGGGCTGTTGGGAGGATGAGAATGGGGAGTAAGAGTTAACATTGGGCTCTATTTCCTCATTTAAAAATACAAATGCTCTAGCACCTTTTTCTTCTCAGCATATGCATACCCTGGGGCCGGCTGATCTTGCTCTCCCTAATTTATGATATTGCCAGGGACCTCATCATTTTCCAGTGTCAATGCTTATTCTTGGTCCCCAGTCTCCCAGTCTCTAGCATTTTGTCTCATTGATTTTCTTGAAATGCTCTCAGTTCTTTGTTGTCACTCTGCAGTTTCTGGACTGAGTTTTCCAACTTGGAGTCACTCATTGGCATTCTTGAGTCATCTCTTGGATGAAGATTTACTCCAAGCTAGAAACTGATCATTAGGTTTATGTCCTTGTGCCAGGGTGGCCAGGCTAGGAAACAAGTGGCACCTGGGGTCCAGCCTGTCCACTCCCACACTAGATGAGGCCCCTTCTTTGCAGAGTTCCTGAGTGCATATCCTCCCATGTTGCAAGGTCACTTTGACCGCAAGGGGAATGTTTTTGAGTCACAGCAAGACCTATATCACACAGAGAGGCTCCAGTTTTGCCAGCCTTCTGCCCTGGGCTTCTGTCCATCTTTAGAAACATCTCTTGCTTGGGAAATGAATGTAGTCCACAAGCAGAACTGTTCCCAAGTGACTCTACCAGGTTGCTTGGCTTTTTCATTGTTTTAGAGAGAGGGCCTTGCTATGTAGTTCAGACTGGCCTTGGACTCACTATGTAGTAAAGGCTGATCTTGCACTTGAAGCAGGCCTGCCTCAGTCTGTCAAGTGCTAGGATTACAGACATGAGCCACCACATCTAGCTCTACCAGTTTACTTTGTACTGCCTCAATATTGAAATAGCTGGGTCTCCCTTTCCTACCAGAACGAGGAACTACGTCCAAGATAACACTGCTTGGAAACTGGAGGCTTCAGTCCTTGGAAAAGAAGGTATACAACATCCTAAAGTTCCCAAGGTGGAGGAGCTGGATTCAGACAAGTCCTGTAAAAATGGAAGCCCACCTCCAGACTGTTTTGCCTTGGGAAGCTCCCCAAAATGCTGTTTTCACACCGTAGATAAGAAGGGAGAAGCCAGCTATAGTAGCACATGTCTATAATCCCAGCACTTGGAAAGCTGAGGCAGGATGGCTTCAAGGCCAGCCTGGGCTACAAAATAAGTTCAAGGCCAGGCTGAACTGCATGACAAGATGCTGTCTCAGAAAAGGGGAGGGTTGATCAATGTGGCTGAGGAGACAAGAAGTTTCTCTTCTATGAGAATACAGACTCACCCTGTGGGTCCTACATACTGTGCTTTCTGTGGGATGATGAGAAGACAGAGAAGGAAGTTGAACACTTGTGTTCTTTCTTTTGTTTCTCATCCTTAACTGTCATGTCAGCCCTCTTCCTTAATCCATGCTATGTCATGTTGTAGGATTTGCCCTAAACCCCAGTATATGAGAGGAGGAAACTGAGATGACCCTCAGTTTCTAGGACACTCTTACCACTTTATCTTTTGTCCCCAAGGGAGTAAATATCACAACTCTGTAGCTCAACCATCTCATTTCCACTTCAGGCCCACGTCTTCCAATACCTTGTCCACGTGTTCCCTTAGAAGTCCCCTCCCGCCTCTTGAACCCAGTATGAAAGAGAATGAAGTAGATATGTTGACTTCTTGCACTCACTTGTCTTTGCTCCAGTTCAAGGACCTAACCCCAGTGACACCATTTTGACTCCATTCTAAGGTTGACCAGAGTCATTCAACCACCTCCATTCATTCTAGAACCAGTCAGTCAGCAGCCACCATTGGCTCTTCCAGCATCTTCCTTTACTCTGGACACTATTCACTATTTCTTTACCAATTTAGCCTCTCTTTATTACTGTCTTACAACTGGGCACTGGTTCTCATTCTCTCTCTCTCCCTCTCTCCCTTTTTGCCCCCCTCCACAGTCTGCCCAACACAAAAATTAAAATGCTGCCTTAGTGAGATTTTTGGACTTACCTGTAAACATAAGAAGTATATAATTCTTTATGCCTATTTTTAAAATATATTCTAATTTTTAAATGTTTTTTATCATTCTGTAGGGACTTAAAGTTCAACATATCAAAACTCAATGAAAAATACCTGTTCCATATTATGCCTAAGATGTTT